TAGTACGTACGTAGTAGTAGTAGTAGTAGTAGTAGTAGTAGTAGTAGTAGTAGTAGAGTAGTAGAGAGTAGAGAGTAGAGTAGAGAGAGTAGAGAGAGAGAGGAGAGAGAGAGAGAGAGAGAGAGAGAGAGAGAGAGAGAGAGAGAGAGAGAGAGAGAGAGAGAGAGAGAGAGAGAGAGAGAGAGAGCTCTTCAACTTAGAGATAGAGAGCTTGAGAGATATTGCGCTAGCATACTTTGAAGTCTATTCTTGGACGCGACTTGCGTTTTGAGTCCTCGTATTACTTTAAATCATAGTTAAGGGAACCTTGTGGGTACGGTGATGATCCCTCTCCGAAACTTCGATCCCACGGTTCCTGCAAGGGATCTTGTAGGGACCCCATTTTTTTTCGATTTTGGGATCTCACTCCCATAAAATGGGGACCACGTTCGATCCATCAGTGGAATCCAGTTCCATTTCGAAATCGATCCCCACTCCCATCAACAATGGTCCAAGGTTGGTGCGTTAAAATTTTGGGTTCCATATTCTACTTTCATTAACGGATGATACCAGGTTAGAGATTGCCATTGTTTGAAGTTCCCATTATTTAGGAATCATAAGTTCCATGATGTTAAAATCCAGTCCCTTTTTTGCATAGCACGAAATTCTATTATTTTAGGTTCTTAATTTTTTTTTGAGAATGTTAACTTTGTATAAGTAAAAGAAATACTATCTACGACATTCCACATATCGAGTGCTCAAAATACAAAAAATATAGCAGAGAATGCACAAAAGCTCAAGGGGAGAGAGAGAAAGACCAAAACAGGAGCGACCCAACATATTGGGTGCTTAAAAGACAGAATCTAAACCGAGAGAGCGTAGTTGCTCAAGGGGACAGAGTAAGACCAAAAAAGGAGCAAGCATAAGATAATACAACGATTATGAGTGAAATTTTCCAAAACAGAAATAAAACATTTCTGAGAGAATCTTCAAGATTTTCTGGTGGAAAATGCTGTCGGGTCTGGCTGGGCTTCTGCTAAGATGGAACTGATGCCCTTTGGGAGGACTACTGGTCCATGATATTATTAACCCGCGATGCTAAGATTTGAAGTCCATACTTGGCAGTTGTATGTGTGGTATCTGCTGTCTTCAGCAGTGTGGCTTCCCATAGATCAAGCGGTTAAAGGCGATGGGGCATATGGCAAAGATGGAGTCTGAGATGGTAACCTTAGTGCATATATGGCATCTAAGGGCGAAGAAGGAGTTGAGAGAGATGAAAATGAAGAAAGAGTTAATAATTCAAAAAAAAGAAATTAATAAAGAGTTGTGAAGAAGATTGAGATGGATTGTGAAAATTCTGACAGGGAAAATGGAACAGGTCGGGCTGCAGAGGTTAAAGATTTGGCTGTAAATGGTTGACTGAGGTGGGGGTCTTGGGGGCAAGGAGGTTAAGAGAGAGGGTAGTTTCGTATGTTTTGGTCATTAATACTCATTTTTATATTTTTCCATCTTTTTTAGAAAATTTTAAAATAGCCCTTGGAAAACATAAAATGGGTTAAAATCTATTGTTTTCATTAACTTTCAACTTCATTTGAATTTGTTTTGTTTTAATCATTCTTTATATGCTTTTCATATTTTAGTTGATTTTTTTTTTATATTTTATTTCAACACGTTTTTGACCGCCCGAGACTTGCCCTGTTAGAGCGGTTGAATCGTCTGGTTTACTGGTTAGGCCGGTTAAACCACTTCCAGGCCTATGTCCGGTTAACTGTTCCGGTTTGATTTTGCGAACATTGATCTCAACTCCTTCTCCAACACCATGAAGCTTCTCACTTGGAACATTGGAGGCTTGGGACACTCCTCCAAAAGGGAGGCCGTCAAGGACTTGGCCTCGAAATATCATCCCAGTATTCCTGCTCTCACTGCGAGCCCTCTCTCCATCTCATCCTCCAGGTTGGAGGCCATCCCAGTGGGCCCAGTGGGTTGTCCTACCTGCGGAAGGGACTTCAGGGGGTATCTGGGTGATCTGGGACCCCACTGACCACCTCCTCCTATCTTCCCATCTAGGGGAATTTTATGTTACTGTTCTCCTGTCTCGTATCTCAGATGGCTTACTGTGAAAATTCTCAGCAATTTATGGCCCCTGCTTTGCTTCCCTT